CAGAAAGGAATACTAAAGCTATGTTAGTGCTAGGAAGACTTCCTATATCTCTGGCCTGCAAAAGTTCCTCTGGGAGCAGCTAAAAATGCATTTTACATTTTGAGCTCTAGAAAGTGAGTACACATACCAAAGTTTTTTGCTATAAAAATGCCATCCTAGGATGAAAGCAGTTTTCCCACCTGCTAGACTGGTTTCTTCAAATTCACTTGCAATAAAAACAGCCTGGCTTCAGCTGAAAAAATACTGCCAAGGAACTCAGAATAGTAAACACTACCAGTCACTAAAAAAAAATAAATAAAATCCTTATATCACCACATGGTACAGTCATTTCCAAGAAAAGCACTTAAAACATGCATTTTCCCCTATTTCAAATATGAGGAAGGGGAAGAAATAAAAAAAGTTGTAATTAGTTAATAAATACTAAAAGTTACTAGAAGAGGCCCAGATAGCAAAGCAATTAATAGTGCTGGTTAAAAATTTCACTGAACAGGCACAAGACAATGCTAGCCCTACCACGAGGCAAATTGTTTCCTCCATCCAAAGTGCTATTATAAACTTTCTGTTAGACCACGGCTTCTTATTTTAGGTAATCAAAGGTATTATTCATATTATTAAACCCAGAAGTATGACCCTCATATTGCATTACCCTCAACTACTTTTTCAGATAGTGGCTTTTACTCATTACCCAAGCTGATAGTAAAAACATTAATTTTGTTATTTTTTGGATTAAACAAAATGAGGACGTTTTATCCCAAAATACGAGACTTACTTCCCCCATGCCGCTAATTTAAATTGACAGCCCGCATTATATTTAAGGATTATGCAATCCCACAGGGAATTTTTCTGCTCCCATCCTTACCTTCCCAGCAGCTGGCAATAGAACAGGAGCAGCAATCCAAGCGCAATTTAAAGGACACTGCCTCTTTGGAAAGCCAATCAAAATCTTACAGAAAGTAGGAGTTGTCTCCTACAAAAAAAAAATAGCGTGTGCACGCCAGAGCAGCAGCAGACGGGGATATCACATCGTCCACATTTACTCAATTTTGAAATGCCCGTAACTTTGCGATAGGCAGAAAACCGAAACTTTGCAGCCAGCTCCTTTAACTAACACCAAAAAAAAATAAAGTACAATCTGGGGTTATCTCTGAAGGTCGGGTTTGAAACTAATGGCTTGCTGTGCAAAGGATTAGCACAAAGCAAACACACGCTCATAGGTAAAGTGCTGATCTCCCCTGGATGCCAGAAAATTTACACATTTTCTAAGGAGATTAAAGGGGGAAGGGAAAGAAAAAGCTCCAAAATCGATTGGAATTTAGTCAGTCTGCAGCTATTGCTTTGTGAAACTTTGCAAGCAAGTGTTATATAAGCTGCAAACACCGGTTGCTAATATAGAAGACAAAGGTATGTTTATAGAGGTTAGCAGTTTCTTATGCTTCAGTTATTAATAGGTTATTACAGTGATAAGAAAGATAAGGAGCTCGGAGGCTGATCTGGAAAAATCCCACATTAAGCTTCGGAGAAAATGGAGAAGAGAGAATTCATCGGCAAACCCAAAATTTCTAAAGTTTCTGGCTCCTGCTGCTGAGCAGGAGGTTCCTACGTTGGGCTAATCCAATAAGCCTAAATCTTGTGTCTCTTAAAGAAAGTTATGGTACTTCTCAGGGTAGGAATCTTGCAGGTTGCCTATTCCTGGTATTTCAAAAATGATTGGCAACCTCACAAATAGAATCTAAATCAACACAGCAAACACCAAGATACTCTTCTGAAATTGCACTGGTCTCCAAACCACCTGGTTTTTCTGCCGTAAGGATATCGATATGAAAGCTCCTCTATATTTTCCAAGTGCAAGAAGAATGCTGAAGAGTGGAAAGCTGTTGAGGCCTCCAGAAGCCAGAAATAGCCAAGAAAGCCAGAAATAGCCAAAAAAAATCCAATAGCCAGCAAGACCCCACTATTCAATAAAAGTGGTACCTGCTCCAGGGCAGAGAGCCATGGGAGGGACACAGGGATCCTCCAGGTGCTGCCTGGTCTGGAGGCACAGCTATATGTGGGCCTGGCTATACGTTATCTCCGGCAGGCAGCTGGATAACCCCAACTTAGAATAACCTTGAGGCAAAAGGCTCGTTTTTCATGAGTGACACGGGGCGAAAAGATGACACAGGCCGAGGCCACGAAGAAACAGGTTCACTGCACGGCCGCTGGAAATGCAGCCAAAATCAAATCCCAGGGGCTGAGGAAAGAAAAATGGAAGGTTTTATATAAACTAGGAAAAAGAGGCTGCTATTTGGTGATGGTGCTTTGTAGTGCCAGGCCTAGAAAAATTTGGAATGAGAGGGATGTTAAAATAAATAAATAAAAGGAGCAAGGCAGCACTCGAGACCACAGCCCTAATTTTGGGTGGGTATTTTCCTTTTTTTTTATTTTTTTTTAATTTTTGCTTGTTTGTCCCTTTGCAGCCCCCAAAGGATGGAGCTGTCTCAGCCCTGTCCCCTCCTCGGGGTGAGTCAGCACCTCTCCCCGCCGCCGTGCGCTGCTGAGGGGAGCGACCATTGCGACCGTTAGGACCGTTAC